ACATGAACAACTGCGTTTCTATCTGATTTGATTAAGATATTGATTATATATGTCCGTCCTAAAGATAGACTATTTAGATGCTACGATATTAACGAGGCAATGAAGGTTAAAACACCTTCTTGAATGTAAAATCCATCTTGAATAAAAAATTTAGACACATGGTTAAACGTAGCTATTATATCTATTAGTAAATAGGTCATAGATTAGATTCATTTATTTTCCGGGTGTATAAATTTGATTGAAATTATATAGTAAAAATGTTGAGATAAATATGTAAAGTCGTAAAAATTCCAATAAATAACATAAGGAAACAATTTAAATTAATTCGTGTATATGTAAGATTAGAATACATCTTGATGACAATATCCCAGCCACTAATTTGCTGTTAAGAATTGAAATCGGAAATGAGCAATTACAATACAGAAAGTGGAAATTTCACTGGAGAGGAAAAGGCATATATATATAGTATTCACTATTAAAGTCTATCATTTACTTTCAATTTATTGTAAAAAATTACTATTCGCAAATTATTTTTCCTTATTAGTCTCATCATCTTAAGTGGGGATTGATCACTTGGCATGAGAATGAGGATTTAAGTTTAGTTTGAAGAATTTTCAGAATATTAAAGTTTGGAAATAAGTTTTGATTTTGGAGGATTTTCGGAATATCAAGATTCGACATTGAGTCCAATTTTACGTTCAGGGAATTTCTGAATTCTCAATCGAAGAATGTTTGGTTTAAGTTCAAGTTTTGAAGGATTAATGGAAATATTGAAGTTTGGTTTCAAAGGATTTTCGGAATATCAAGGTTCGGAGAGACTCTAATGTTAAGTTCAGGAATTTCCGAATTATCAATTGAAACTTGATACAATGAATTCAAAGGATTTATGAATTATATATATACAACAAAGAGTATTTTGGAATCAAAACATCGAGATGAAATAAATGTTAAAGCCTGACGAATTTAACAAATTTCTTTCTACGAGCGATTTCTTATGTACAAATTCTACAAAGGCAAACATCTCAAGGATGAAACAAACTATATATTATTATTACTCAAATTGGAGCTGTGAATTGTTCCTTTTAGTCAAATTAACAGTTCTTACATGTGAAACAATCTCCCTATATTAATGAGATTCCGATCACAGAGATCCTACACATGACAACCCCTCATGCAATTAAGCACCAATGCATCACCCCCATTAAATTTTAAGATATACATCTAATTTAACAATTAAATCAAGTTAAATTTATCTGTGATTAAGCTTATTATAATCCATAAGATGTGCAATTATTTTAATTTCCGTCTTCGTTCTTATCTTTCATAAAACTATAACAGATTCTAAGAGCATGCGGTCGATCCATTAAAGTCTCATTCCATATTTGATATCCCCCAAATTCCATGATTAATTAAACAACAAAAGTACATTACTCTAGTCAATAGAAATAAATTAATCCCCATAATTATTGTTACTTTCGGAGCAAATATCGAAACCACGTGGCGTTATACTGGACTATATTCATGTTTCATGATGCTGAAACACCAAAGCTCTTCACATTGAGCCCTAATCTAAACATAGAGAATGAAAATAAACAAATGAAACTAATTACATTATGAATTCATCATGATAATACAAATTATATATAAATATGTCATTTGGGTTTGTTTAATGGGAAAATGGTTGTGAACCAGCTGCCAGCTCTATCCAAAACAGAAAAAAGAAAGCTGCAAATTATGGAAACCCTAATGAGTCGTGCGAGCAGCCAGCCATAAATGAAACAATGAACACAAACAAGAAATGTGATTATTCTCATGTGCGGAACAAAATCAGATTTTATGAGGGTTTTCCAATATTGTTGTAATACCGAGATTTTATTCCATTCCAAACGAGTTGTTTTTATGCAGAAACTCATTAAAATTTTTGTACCAGCCAACAAGAGATCGTGCATATGGCCGGCTGGCGAGTTCTTATTATTTCAAAATATGAGCACGGTGTATATAACGAACACAATTCTATATCAAATTAAGTGTACAATTATATCTGTATCCATATGGGAAGCTTCCTTTGCTCTTTGTTTAAGAAAAAAATATGTTTTGTTTTAAGCGTAACTGGGGCGTTAAAGTCGCCGGAATCTTTGGAAGGACTTTGGGATGTGGCCATGGAATTGGACTAGTTCTTCACTGCTTTTTTCAGTTTATTAATAATCATTCATGGAGTTCTATTGCTTAATTATAACAACGAGTTTTCCGTTTTAGGGTTGACAAGGGTTTGATCCGAATCTTTGTTAATGTCAGTTTAATAAACTTTTACAGCTCAGTTCAGAAACTTTATTTTAATTTTGTACTAGGGTTTAAGCAAGCTGTGGTTTAAGAAATTGGCTCTGTTTCATGCATGGTTAATTCATTAATTAATTATTTGCCTCTTCAACTTCTAATTACTTACCATTACTTATATTAAACATTGAAAAATTAAATCTGAAATGGGATGGCTACTACTTTTAATAGTAGAAATACATAATCAACATTTTTATAATTGTATAATGAATATCTTTTTACTCTATAAACTACCATTTATCCTATGTTAATAAATCAACTTATATCACTTTAGATATTCTTCAAGTTGTAAAACTAATTAAATACCTTCTCAGTTGAAGTTGATTGAAGTTAAAAATTTATAATGAGATGGGCATCTTATTATTTAATTTATATATAACAATTAAGTGTTTAATAATAATAATAATAATGATAATTGATTTTATTGAAATATATGTTTGTACTTTTAAATGCCTTTAGAGAATGTGTAATTAAAATGTTATTAGTATTTTTATGATATATATTTTTAATGTCACATGTTAAGAACACAAATCGAAAATTAATTTCATTATATTAATGAATTATATATGAACAGTCAAATAGAAAAACAAAATACTTAATAATACATTGAAATAAGTAAAATTTTGTCTTTTTCTATATTTAACAAACATATCTTAATATTTTTTATTAATAATAAAACCAATAATCGAGATTTGGTAAATCAAGATTATTAATAAATTTGAATTTGCGTCAAGATGATTATTACATTAATTAGATATATAATTAAAATTTAATATAGCGGTTAAATCGATGAGGTTTGAACAATACAAGAATTTGAATGACGTTCATAATTTAGATCGGCATAATCATTCAATTAATTAGAAATACGATTAATATATATTCTTTTTATGAAAAAATTGTTTTGAATTAAGTAAAAACACTTCAAAAAATTTATTAGATTAATTAGATATGAATATTTTAATATATTTCAAGGGGTAGAGGAAGAACATTGGTGTTAGATGGTCAAATTTAAGGACATGTGTTTGTTAATATTAAATATAAGAATGATGAGAAAATATAAAATATAGATATAAATTTAGTAATAGATATAATAGATAGGTAGATTTAGTGAATAGAAAGTGTAGATTTGTAAAATGGTAGATATTATTGTTTTATGTTTACTAAATTTTGCGAATGATTGGGTTTGTAGATTTACAATGATTAGAAGTTATTTAAAATTATTTGTTTTCAAGGGATATAAATTCCAAGGAAACCACTCTCTTTCCTCTTCCTCTTTTCTGCTACCAACCTTAAAAAATTGGATTATCTCCAGATCCCCTTCAATTATTTGTCATCAACTTATATTAAATTATTTATCGAACTTGATAATTATTAAAAAAATAAAAAAACAAACAAAAACCTCCACCATCTTCTGGCACACAAAATAAATCAATTGTGCCAAAATTATCTTTGCTTTAGTTAATTATTGGATTCTGGTTAAATATTTTAGCATTGTGACTACAGAAAATGAGCATGTGTATAGTTGAACATGCCCTAATCCCCATCTTGAAATAACTTAACTATATATTTCATATAGAGCTGATGAATCATAATTTTGTGAATCCCTTTCCTGACATTTTTATTGCTTCATAGAAGTTAGAAACATTTCATAATCAGTGTAATTGGCCAGTTTCTCTTACCCGTTTGCATTGAATCCGAACTTTTATTTTACCCTGTACAAACTTTCACATAAAAAATATTACATATCAAATATGCAGGGTCGTTGCTATATCAGACTGTAGGAAATAATTTCTATTAATAGTTAGTTTGTATGCGTATATCATTACTTTGTTATAAACCGTCCAAAAATCCATTTCTGTTCCATGAACTTGGAAATTACGGTTGCAATAAGCTTAAAAATATACAAGAAATCTGGTTTCACCGTCCAATGAAAAATTTGATCAGAATTTTTAATAGATATGGATTCAGATTTGTGAAGTTTGAAGAAACACTTGTTAGGTAATGAAGAAGGGAGGAGACAAGTATCCAGTAACCAGATAATACTGTCTGATTCCATGTAGTATTTGAGAATGTCATACTCATCTCCACGATCTGGCCGTCCTTTTGTTAACATAAAAATTTTCATTTTCATACTGTTTAAACACAATTGTTTATGTTTAATTTATTTTAAGAAAAAACACCCCCACGTTCTCAAGATTGCCAGGTGTGATTCTCTTCCTCCCAAATCTCACTTTCAATTCAATGCTTTAGTTTTTTATCCCAACTAATCGCAGTTATATTTTTCAGCTTGAATCTTTAATTTATTCTTCGTTTTTGTCATTTAGTTAAGTCTCCAGGACGTTTGAGGCCACTCAAAAGGTTTCCTTATTTTATTTGTATTATTGAGTGAACTTGGTCTCTCTGAGTTGTACCGTGGCCCCATTAAGGATTTCCGAAAAAATTAGTTACAGGGTGTTGGGTCTTTCTGCATACTAATAATTGATAAATATGAAATGAGATATTGTTACACAAATGAAGTCAATGCTTTTGAGAACATTCTTCTCATTTGTTGGGTATAAATATGTCTCACAACCTTGTTTCCCATTCAAGCAATCTTCCGAATTTGAGAGCTTATTTCTCTTCTTTAAACACTACTTAAAAACATTTATCTCTAAAGGAAAAATAATATGGAGTCTTTGGGAACTATTGTAGAGGGAGAGTGGGGATCTCTAAGTGGAATGTCTACCAATGAGGAGGCTGATTTCATGGCCCAACTGCTCGGAAACTGTCAGTTTCCGAATGATTTAGATGGCAACACAAACTTCGGAAACGCGTTAGCGTTTTGGCCTGGCCATCATGAATCAACAATAAACTTGTCAGGTTTTAATGAAGGTTCTTGTTATTCTTTGGATGCTGGTAATAATAATACTAGTTCATATAGTTATAGTGGTGGTAGTAGTACTGTTCTTTTTCCAAGTTCATCCAGCCAGGAAAGCCACTATTTGAGTGATTCACATCCAATTTTGGTCACTAATAATACAAGTTCCATGTCAATGGATTTTTGTTTGGGGGATGCAAACAACACCACCTCTTACCTAATTGAAGGCGATGAATGTTTGAACCAAGAGATGAGCGATGGCAATAAGGAAAATCAGTCCAAAAATGAATCCGGGATGCAACTACCAGAGCCAGTTCCTGAAGAGAAAATCATCACCAACTCATCTGAGAACTCTAGGAAAAGATCTAGAAGCACAACTGATGTGAGTACAATATGAAACATTTGTTACCAATTTATTTTTATTTTTATTTTTATTTTTTTTTTTCTGGTTGAGGTAAAAGTTTTTACTGATTATAGTTTAACAATGTAGGCTCAAAAGAATAAGAAGATTTCCAGGCCGAGGAAAAACCAGAAGACTGTTTCACCAAGCAACAATGAACAGGAAGATAATAGTAAAGGTGGTCTTAACAGGCAGACCTCAAGCAGTTGCTGCTCGGACGACGATTCGAATGCCTCTCAGGAACTAAATGGAGGAGAGACTTCAAGTTTGAGCTCAAAAGAGAAGGCAGCTCTCAACCTCAATGGCAAAACTAGAGCCAGTAGGGGCTCAGCAACTGATCCTCAAAGCCTGTATGCAAGGGTAAGTATCTAATAATTATATCACTCAAAATTTTAATTTTACTGCGAATCAGTAGAAAGTTGATTGATTAACATTTTCCCTTCTCCTTCTTGCAGAAAAGAAGAGAAAGAATCAATGAGAGGCTCAGAATTTTACAGAACCTTGTTCCTAATGGAACAAAGGTTGACATTAGCACAATGCTTGAAGAAGCTGTCCAGTATGTGAAGTTTTTACAACTCCAAATTAAGGTAAGATCAATTGCAAAATAAGAATAAGATGTATGACATTTGTAATTAATTTGAACCTCTTAAAAAACATTGATTAATTGATTTAACTCTTGTGCTTGTTTCGGCTTCGATTTTTGCAGCTCTTAAGCTCTGACGATCTATGGATGTATGCTCCTATTGCTTACAATGGAATGAACATTGGACTTGATCATTTCAAAGTCACTGCACCTAGGTGAATGTGGAAGATAATTGAGGGCCATTCTTGAATTTTCTGTTAAATACAAATAGCAAGTTCATATATAATAAAACTTTTGCCATCATGTAATGAATTTATTTTTTACAAGTAATCATAATTTTCTCTCATCAAATTCATGAGAGTAATTTTTTATGAGAAATTCATAGGATATGTTCAATTCCATTGTTCATCGGCGGAATATAATAGAAATGTTTTTACCAATTCTTCTGCTTCTTCTTCTCTGAGAAAGTCTTCGACACAACACCAAGTACTAAATGTGTTATGGACTTGTTCAAACAGCTTTTATTTTCAGACAAATCAATGGATATGCAGTTTCCGATGTTTACAGCATTATTGTTCAAAGCAAAAACCTTGTTTGATGAATCTTCGAATTAGAAGTCTTGTTCAAAATAAATCTTAGAATTAATTTCAATCTACTCCCCTGGACTCAATGCAGACTAACATTTTGATCCACATATTGTTGATGTAGCAAATCAGTCCATTTCCAATCTCTCTTTTATGAAGTGTAAAATATCAATCTTCACGCATTTCGTCTTATCATATATTCTACAGGATTTATTGACAAGCTTACGCATTCATTGTGCCATAAACTCTAAACTCGGAATCAGCACTGCTTTTACAAACAATAATTTGCTTCTTGCGTTTCCAAGTCATAAGATTTTAGCTCCAACAAATGTACAAAACCTGATCTTCTATACTTATGGAACCTGCTCAATCACATTAGCATCCGTAAAGGCCTTCATTCGTTATTGTTCTTCCTTGTTGAAAAACAAACCTCTCCCTGGTGTTCTCTTTTAAGTGTTTTAAGATGTTATTCCCTTGTATCCCCCTTGCAACAAGTCTTACTTTGTATTCGAGTTTTCAGAAAATTCACTAGTTTCCGAGTGTTATTCTTCTCGTTGGCCTCATCTAAACAAAATTTGGGAATTTCTGTGCCAAAAAGGTTAGAGGCACATATATTAAACGTGGGAGACAATTTGTGTTATGAGTTATGACACAAACTTTGATATGGGATGAAGGGTACATGTAACAAGTTCATTTTCAAATATATATATTATATATAAATAAAGATCATGTAAATTGTTAGGGCTATATTGAAGGTTATGGATAGGATTATAAATTCCATATGTTTCTTTGGCATTGGGTTTTGAGTCATGACTCTGCATCAATGGTGAATGAGCATATTATGACTTATTTTCGAGTAGGGAAATATCCCAAAACCACACATTTGAATACCTTCTTCCATTATAATTATCAAATTTACAGATAACAACTTAACCCTAGTGACAGGTCATAATCAAGAGGAGAAGGAGAAATAATTATTCCATTCAAGTTACCCAATAAAAATATATACTTTGAATATCTTCCTATTATTAAAAGCAGGGAAAAAAATTTCTTAAAAGATAAATATTTAATCCCACAAGAAAGAATGACCAAGTAATATAGCCAATATCCAAACACCTTAATAGAAACAAACCAACAATATTATATTTAAACTCCAATAAGTACAAATAAAACAGTGATTTCTCTTTAAAATTAAAAATAAATAGTCAGTGAGAAAATGCTCATCCCCATCTAGAAGGCATAAAATGAATTTAGAGTTGTCATATAAATTAGGGGAAATAATAATCTTAAAGGGATGGGAACGGAAAATTCTTAAACGTTACAGCCAAATCCCTTATAATTTCTTTGCCCCAAATGCAATTCCTAATTCAACTCTTCAACATGTTACAATCCTAACAAACAACAGGACTACCTCTATTCTGCATTTCATTATTGTCCAATTCCAACATTTATATTACATAGACATTATATCCATGCTTCAAATAATTTTAGACTGTAACAAAGAATGACATCAAAACACATCCAGTCTGTATTGTCAGAATCCTTGAAAGATTCATGGTTCCTTTTCACGCGTGTTCATCGTTCACATGGTTTTGAACTTCAGCTTGACTGTCCAGAGGCATATACTGTGCCATTATGGCTCTGATCTCAGAATCCATGTATGACTGCCAAGGCAACAGAGAATGAGATAAAGAAAGATCAACAACCCGAAAGTGTGAAAATAACGTATTACAACTTTTCTTTTTCCTGTAAGAAACAAAATCATAATTTGCCTATCTATCAAACTGGCTGGCTCTTGTTTGAATAATCAGCCACATGCCCGAAATAGCAAATGAAGATAGAAGACCATATGACAAATATAGGCATACCAAAAAGCTATCTCTTCAGATGTTCAACCAAAGTATTTTATATATATATATATATACCAGGCATCCTAGTACAATAATGGATCGATAAGGTCAAATATAGGATAAAGTTAGGAGCCTCTATACCCTTTGACTAAGAATACAGAGATTCAAGCAGTTTTGAAATGTGTAAATCCTTCCTTGAATCTCTCAGTAACCTCCTTTAATGGAAAGTTTTTGACAACATGAGTTGCCTATTTGGGTCACACTATATCAGAAGTTAGAAAAACTTGCCCATATAATAATAAAAGCAATACTTCAAGGGGTTGTACACAATCAATATGGACAACCAACATAGGCAAAGCAGAGATATGCAACCAAGATTTAATTAAAGAATTATATCTAAGGAATGAAAATAGTATATATATATATATATATAGCCCAAACTTACCCTTAATCTATATTTATAAACGAGATATGCTCCGCCAGCAGCCATAGCCAAGCCAATTAGAATGACCCAAAAGGCAGTCCAAGCAGATTTAACTTCTGTAGCCCTCTTACCTGTCATTAACAAGGAGAGAACATCAAGAGAAGAACCATAGCAAAGCACAAACATATTTACAAGTAGGAAAGTATTGAAAAAGCAATCTTGGGTTGGCAAACTCACTTATGCAGGTATCATGGTCCCTGATATACAGAAGATCCCCACTACAAGTGCATTCGTAGCTCCCCCAGGTATTTTTGCAGCTACATTCAGGGCACTGACAAGCTTTCCTCTCTTTGCATTCATCAATATCTGTATGTACAGAGAAAATCTTTAGAGACAAACTTAGTCTGGTTCTTTGACTTGTCTTCAATAGTAAAGAAAAACTTTTAGTAGGAAGGAGCTAAGCCACATCTACTACATATTACTTTTTCCATATTCCAAAACTAGTTGCAAACCAAAATAACAATATATACATTACACTAAAAATACATGTACTCGGTCAATTACATTAAAAAAACAAACAGAATAATCCAGAATTTTCATGACTGTTGAAGCTTTCATTGGGCGTGTGATTGCACTCATTCCTAAGTGTCAATGCTAATGAACCCCATGTATAATGACCTAGGACCTAGGTCTAATCTCTTAACCCTTTTCTTCTTTTCAATCATCGAAAAGTTGCACCTAGAATCAATTTCCAATAGATCTGAAACCTATTCACATCAAACAATATAACTAAAAGTTATAATGCTGGATTTTAAGATGCTGCACCTGCACAGCAGAGATTTCCTGTTCTGCATCAAAGTTGACTATACACATGAAACATCAATGACCATTTTGTGTATGCAGCCATAATTGCCAAAAGTAAACTAGCATTATCACAGAGTTATGATTCCTTGTACTCATTACTTTTGATGCTGTTGAAAGAGTTGCACATAAGATGTTAAATTGTCTTTGTCCATTGTGAAAAGGACCTATGATTCTTCTCATGACATATACCACTAGTTCCCAGTAAAACAAATTTTACATTCAATTCATCTTGGCAAGAGCAAAATAAAATAAGATAATAATGGAAGTATCTCTCACCTATGCAGCTTTTGACACCATCACCTTTAAAACCTGGAGGACACTGGCATTTCCCACCCTCAGAATCCTGTTCAAAGAATCATGAATATGTGAACATGAATTCTGGTGGTGAGTACAAAAGTGTGTTGAGAGCAAATAAGAATTCGTAAAGAGAAAATCACTGACCAAACAGGCAGAGTAGGTGTGCCCATCCTTTGACTCATGCCAACAACCTCCATTATTTATCTTGCACTTTCCAGGACCACTAACTGTGAAAAAAAAAAAAAAAAGGAAAATTTACTGCTTAAATTATAATATAGCACTATTAAGTGTCTGAAATTACTTATCCAAGAAAAAAAAAAGTGTCTGAAATTACTTATCCAAGAAAAAAAAAGTGTCTGAAATTACAACTCAAAAAATTCAAACATCTGACCTGAAGCAAAAATTCAAAATTTATGATACCTTGCTTTGTTCTGGCCCATAAGTAGAGATTATGGTTTTTTGTGAATCTTGATAAATGCACATAAAACGGCTCAGCCTGAGGTCAACAATATCTACACATCTCAACCTAGGTGATACATGGAAAAACTTAAACTGCCTGATCTGTGTTGGGATAGGTTTAGTCTGCCAAATTCCAACTATCCCCTTCCGAAAAAAAAGCCTTGCATGGCCCCAGCATTGTATCCCAAATACTATTTTATTTTGAGAAACTTATAATTTTCTTTTCTTTCTTGTTTTTTCTTTTCCTATAAATACTTGGTAAGCAACTCACATTCTTTGCAAATATCCTATATTCTTTGTATACCAAATATTCAGAATAATATTACACAGAAAAAGTAAATAATTCATCTCTTAATTAAACTTACACAAATATAGAGACTACATTTACAACAATCTCACCTTCACAGTGGCTGTAACCATCTCCTTTGAACTGCACACCATCAACCAGGGGGCATTCACATACTCTCCCACGGAATGTATCCTGTTAGAAGCATAAACAACTCAATAACTCAGCTAAATAAATAAACAAAAAAATCAATTGAAATAAATATGAAACAAAACAATAACCTGCCTAACCAAACGATTACATCCATACCTTGCAGGCTGTGATGTTGGCTTCTTTATCTTGCCAGCAACCCCCATTATTATCCAAGCACTCATTTGTCTCTACATCTGCCACCGAAAAAAGTTTACTCATGAACTCATGTTCAAAACAAACAAATCTCCAAGAGTTAAACCATACCCAGTGAAGGTTCCAACTCCCACCAAAGGGTCCTGAATATGTTCTAACCTCTCCAATTTCAAGATTCAATTAGCACACTTGAGGTAAAAAGCTTTGAGACATCAATAGTTGCACCAGAAAACTATATATGACCCAACAAGTGTAACACATTTTCCTTAATTAGTATCAGACTAAAATTTAAACTTACCACCACTCAAACAAACAGCTGGTTCAGTTGTTTCCTCAAAACCAGCACAGATGGCCCTCAAGACAGCACCTTTCTCCAACTTTCCTGCAAGAAGCAGCACATACTTCAGTAAAGGGAAAAAGTCCAAGTTTTTTATCTACAAAATATAACATCACATGCAGACCTCGATATTGACGATTGTTGACAACAAGGGTTGGCAGTATGGTTACATCACCCCTTGATCCTTTACCAACCTACAGAAAGTGCTCTTGTCAAAGAGATTATGTATAACTGAGCTAAGAACACCAATTTTGAAACAGAAAGGGAAATATATCAAGATGTACTAAAATTTAATAACAGTACAAAATAAGAGGACAATTACCTGGGCATCTTGCTCTTCTTTCAGAACAGGATTATCAGCATCTGCCTCTGGGTCTCCCATGCACTTTTCAATCTTTTTACTATCAAGCCCTGTTGAGACATCAAATGAACATCTAAATATCATTTGTCATCAAAGAACAGCATCCTCTTCTCCATGAGGCCATAAATGGCCTCTAAACTAAGAATCAGAAGATAAATGATAAATTATTTACCTAGAGATTTAATTACACCATCAGCACATTCCTTATTATATTTTTTATCCTTCATAGGACATCTGATTTGAAAATCAGTTACATAGTCCCACCACACCCAGGGCTTCTTGGACTCATTTGCCACTCTATACACACATAGTTGCCTTAAGTTCTCAAGAACAACATCTTTTCCTTCATAGCCAGAACTGAAGTCTTGCTCAGGATCAGGAGCACAGTATCTTCCATGATTGATGCACTGCGACTTGCACTGTCTACTCAAAGTGAATGTCTGAGGACAATACCAAGTTATATAATGGGGTGTGAAAAGAGTGTAGCCACCTTTCTCAAGTATCTGTGCTGGACCCCTAAAATCCTTTATAAATGCCATCAACATGTCACATTTAACTCCACATTCATCATTGCTGTTGGTCCACAACTCATACTCCACACGGTCATCAGGGTGTGGAACAGCTTCTCTCCAATCAAGATTCACGTTTACCATTTCTCCATCACTGAGTGCTTTCTTTAATTTTTCACCAAAGCTTTTATCAATAAGTGCAGATGGTATAGTTATATTCTCAATATATGTTGTGGATGAAATATCCTCTGCAGGTGTGTCCATGGTTATTAATGCTTCCTCAACATCATCTGCAACAAGTACGGCAGAAGCACCGGCTTCCTGGGCATTCCAAACCTTCAAAGCAAAGTAGCAATCTGGAAAGAAACACAAAACATTAAATGTCATTTCTACAATTAAAGCTAGCAGAAAACATAATCCAAGACTCAAATTTGAAGGAAGATTTTTTTTTTTTTTTTTCCTTTCAAATGAAAAACAAAAAATAAAATACTTTGACGTAGGACAGGGAGAAAAGATATAGATCAAAGAAGATTGGAGAGAGAAACAGTAAGCAAAGAGCAAACATTTAAGAGAAGCAAATAGAAGAATAGAGATTAAAATAAAAATTAAAGTGAATAGGGATAGAAGGAAGAAAAAATTTAGAAGAACAAAAAGAAAAATTAAGGGGAACACAATCATTCATCATATTATTTTTTCCAGGTCTACATCCAAAGAAAAAATGATTGGCTTATTTATAATAGACAAGTCCTTAACAAAACAAGAAGCAATGAATCTACTTTTAAAAAGTCATTTAAATTCTACTCAAATAGGAAAACCTAATTTAGGAAAGTTAAATCTTAATCAAGTAACAGATCCGACTTAAACAAGTAATATCTCTATATTCCTAAAATAATAAAAACTTCAATTGTTGATTCTACATCACATTCATTCCAACACAAACCAGCATTTCATAGTCAAAAAGTTTAAGAGAATAATTGTCAGAGATGGAGAATAGCTTATAAAAGAAGCACATTCAAGAATTCATATCAAGCAGATAGAGAACTATATCCAACATCAAAATAAAATATGGGCGACAAGAAACCTAGTGTTTGGTTAAAGAATAATAATGTGCGTATCCGCTGTCAAGAAGGTTGACGATGCCAGTTTAACAAAAAGGAACAGGTTTGCATCAATTCAGGCTAGGAAGTATCTTCACATTGAATTCCAGCTTCCAACTTTTCTATAGAGGTTTCAAGTCATTGGCTAATTTTCATAATAAAAGGATATCAAGTAAGTTCTTTTAAATCTCCATCACCTATGAATGCATTCTTATATCAAAGGGGTTCAGTCTGGGGGTAAAATTAATACAAGGAATACTTTACCCCACATCCACATAACTATAACTATTCACAGCATTTGGCCCCAATAATTGAAACCATATCATAATATCATCAAGTATGAATAAGATAACACTCAAGCCTATAAGTAGAATCATTTCCAATGCCTGAACAAGATATAATATTTCAGTTCTGTTGGATACCTAAGAAAGATATTTCACGTTATAAGGCCAGCTTCTCCCACCATAACACGAAAAAAAAGCCACGAATAAACATAGCTCAAATGTTCTTTGGACTTTCATAGCTCATTCGGAAAGAGTCATAGTCACTCAACAAAATGAAAACCTAGAATTTTGAATGCAAATGTGGTTGGTTCCAAAAAAAAAAAACGTATAATCTGTATCTAGTGCAATACCAAAGAAGATTAACTCAATCAATCCCAGAAAACCAATTAAACATCATAATTCCGATCAGATTTTCCCAATTAAAAAAAAAAAAAAAAAAAAAAAAAAAAAAAAAAAAAAAAACACAACACTTCAATCAACATAAGAAACTACTTAAACCTCAAATAAATGCCATAATTCCGAAAGAATTTTTTAATCCATAAGAAAATATACATGCCAATAACAGAGAAGAATAAAAACACAATAAACTGCACTTGATTTGGGTAAAAAGAACTCTATATGTCAAAGAGAACAGAACCATCAAAACCTAATGTTATACAAAGCAAATTACTAAACAAACCACAAAACGATTATCTGTGATATGATTAAACCAAGCAAGCAAAATGCCATATTAAAGAATATCTCTTAATAATAAAATAACAATTAAAAAAAAATAAAAAAACCTAAAAGACTTCCCAATTAATTACCAAAAAACAAAAAAAAACCTAAAATCTCAGCAAAGCAACCAGATTAAACCAAATTTACTTCAAAAGACTACCTCCCAAATGACTAAAACAAGCTTAAAATAATCAAAATAATAACAAAAACCACAGTATTAAAACTTTACCTCATAAATCAACCAAAAAACAAACCAACAAATTTAATTTAAATAATCAAAAGGGCACATAAACAAATCATCAAATCAACCAAAAAAAAAAATCTGAAAAGCCAAGATACCTCCACGATCGACCAAAACAAAATTGGGCAAAGCACCAGGCTTGGATTCAAACTTAATCCTGAACTGATCAAACCCTTTACAACCCTTCTGGTTCTCCTTGGGATACACCACAGTCCCAGCCATGCTTCCCCCATATTGTGGAATCCCGAAATTCCCAATCGCACTGTCATGCGACCCTTTAATCTTCTCCGGCGATGTCACCATCAAGCTGTTCTTCTCCACCACGAACCGGGCCAGTGAATTGGGCGCATAACTTATGCACAGAAATAGAAACCCAAAAAGACACAGATTCCAAGTGGGTTTTCGAATCACCATTTCTTTGTGGGGGTTATGAATGTGATTTTTGAATTTTTGGATGAATCAAGTGGATTAAAACATCAAATGGGTCAGAATAGAAATCTTAGTTGTTGGGCGTTGGGCGTTGGTGTTTTTGGGAGTAGAATCTGTTTTGTTTGTTAAATTTTGATGATGATAAGAAGTAGAAACTGGAAAGAGCGTGACTTTGGGTTTATGCTAAATCAAAACAAAAACACTACTATTACTAAAGAGCAAAAACCTTTTCCCACCCAAGGTTTGAATTAATTACTTGGCCAGCCGAAATGTTTCAAAATATCACTTTCCCACCCAAAGTTATATTTTGTTTACTATCCAGAATATACTTATCGATTCAGCGGCCAATGGAGAGAAAACTTGGTCCAACCTATTGGTACTTTTGAAGAGGGGATATCATGAGTCTTTGGTGGTGGCAAGTTGGATTTAGGCAATTGAGATTGGTCAAAATTTGATTTCAAAAGGGTAGTTGCATGTTATACAAATCACTCATTTCCAATGATTGATGGGGTTGATGGGAGCAAAATTTGAAAGGTTTGGGTGAGTGATGATCAAAGAATATAATGGTGGTAGCGTGGGATTACAAAGATGCCAGAATCAGCTGGTGATTGGTCAGAATATAAACTTTAGATAGGTAAGTGGTATTTTGAAACTCTTTAGATGAGATTAAGGCAAACCTTTGGTGGGAAAAAGATCATTTACTCATTACTATATACTCTAATCTAATTTATACTTTAATAAGTATCAACGTCTGCAATTTTATTTTATTTCTTATTGGGAGTGGGAATTATAAACTTTGATAAGAAAGTGGTATTTTGAAACATTTTAAGTGGGAAAGTGTCATTAAGACAAACCTTGGGAGGGAAAAAGATCGTTTACTCATTACTGTATACTTCAATTAATTTATACTTTAATAATACTATAAGAGTATCAACGTCTGCAATTTTATTTTATTCCTTATTGGGAGTGGGAACATAGACGGACGACTTTGTCGTCCTTAGAGGTGGAAAAGTAACCCGCCCGGCCTGACCCGCAGCGGGTTACTTCTTTTGGCGGGTTGGTTCTAACCTACCCACCAACAAAGGCAGGCCAGGTTAGGCTCGCCATTTTTGGGGTAATGGCTGGCCCAACCCGGCCCACCAACCCTAACCCGCCAGGTTAAGCTGCAGGTCGGGCTGGGTTAACCCTATATTTTGATTTTTTTTTTTTTATTTAGTTAACTTTTCAAATAAATAATTAATGATTTATAAATGAATAAATTGTTTTTAGTTAACTTTTCAAATATCAATAATTCAATTAAATTAAGTTTTTTTTTAATTAACATTTCAAATATTAATTCAATTTTAATACAATAAAATTGTAATATAAGAAAAATTAGATTCATTCATTCGATTGATGAAACTTTAGCATAAGAATGAATTATATTTTATACAAGACATGGAAATTTAAGAATAAGACTTCAATATTTAATTTTTTTATATTTTACGTACCATAAAAAATAATAATAACAATGTGTCAAATATTATGAAGTTTTATACATTTTAATATTTATGATTTAGAAGTATAGTTTAATATTAATGTGTAAAATTATTTGTAAGAGTTCAATGATAATAGTTTAATTAAAAGAATTAAAAAAAAATGGGAGAAACTTGAAAAAAATAATTTATTTTTTATTTTTTTAATTTTTTTTGGGCCAACCCGACGGGTTGGCTATTGTAAACAAATAGCAACCCGCCAACCTGGCAGGTTGCCATATAGCAACCCGACCCGCCCAAGGGGTTGCATGCGGGTTGGGTTCAACCGGACCGCCTAATGCGGGCCGGGTTAGGGTTGACCCGCCTAACCCGGCCCATTTGTTCCACCTCTAGTCCTTATCAGACATTGCAACTTCATTTTAAGAGTAATTGTATTTCTTCTCTAATATTTAAAGTAACCACAAAGAATACTCTAAATTTTTATAAATACACAAAATCGTCCTTTTATTGTCTAAAGTAGTGTTTTAAAACCTAGCCCAACCTTTCAACCGGGACCTAGAGCCTTCACCGATTTGAATTACAAGTTTTCATATTCACTGAAAACCCTAGAAATTAGGACATCAATCCGTGAACAATTGAAGGTTGGAATGTTAAGGCTTTTAAAAAGAAATTGCCGATGATTGCAATGGTGGCAATTGCGTTAATTTTCGGTGAGTGAATCGACCGGAAATCGAAAAACAATGTCGTCAAAAAAAGCCTGTTATCGTCGGTGATTGGGGCGACTAACGAGGAAGGGTGAGATAAGTTTTGGTCAAGAGGCTAGGGAGAGTGTTTTCGTGATGAAGGAGAGTGTTGTTGTTGCCGAAAGTAGGCCTTACTCGGCGACACCAACAGTGGTGTTTGAGGTGTTTTTGCAAGATTTCAAACCTATAGGGACTTACATAATTTTTAGGGGTATTTTCGTTAGATTTCAAACTTTTGGACACCAGTTTGACCCGCCAGCCAAACTGGTTAAATCGGTCAACTCGAGACCCGATCACTTTGCTGGGTTTCACCACAGGTTGGGTTTTAAAACATTGGTCTAAAGGTAAAAACATTTTTTTTTTTTTTTTTTTATGATCAGGAGTATTCATGCTTATCGAACTTGGAGGACTTTATAAACTATCCAAATATCTTTTTATTATTATTTTTTTTTTTTATGACTAGGGGTGCTCGGGCTAGTTTGCGTGTACCTCAACTAATTCCCCGAGACCCTAAAACTTCCTGTTGAGTAAAAGCTCAAATGATCACCCTTATTAGTAGCAGCGAGGACTCAAATTCGAGACTCAAACAAATCAAACATGAGAGACCATGTAAACTTAGATTCTTCTTTGCTCTTTTACTATTAAGCCATTCAATAGTAGTTAAACAAATGCCAACATGTATTAGGGTTATTTGAGTCATTTTGGCATTTTAAAATGTGCTTAAAAAAACCTTAAAGGGAATTATTGGAATTATCTCAGACATCAAAGGAGAAAAAAATTATCAGTTCTTGTTAAAAGGAAGGGTTTTTTTTTTTTTTTTTTTTTTTTTTTTTATTTTAAAGAAAAATATTTAAATAAACAATTTAGGGTAGTTTAATGAATACTACAAGTTTAGTTTTTAATGAATTTTAACATTTTGAAAATGGTTTTTGGCATACTATAAATCGATGAAGTTGTCTTATATTTTAAATTCATTTTTTCTACATGTGATTTCAAAATTAAATTAACAGTCTCTTATATCGAAAGGTCTGTTTGGTTTGTTATTTTGGATAGGATTTTGAAAATAATATTGGATAGTTGAATAGGGTGATTATTACGAGGTAAAATTTAAAAATTAACCAAAAAAACTCCTAGGTTTGCTAATTTAACTAAACACCCCAATATATAAAAATTTTATAAAATGACAAAAACACCCCCACCCACCCACAGCGGCCAGAATCTGGTCAAAATCTAGCGTTACAACGCAGATCAGTCGAATCTGGCCAGACATGCGTCGATCTGGCCTTTTCCAGCCAAATCTGATCGTCAACGACCGGAAAAGGCCAAATTTGGCCGTGAGCGATGGCCAAAGATATGACCGTCGTTGTCGGTCAACGATATCCATATTTTGTGGATCTGGCCAGAAAAGGCTAAATCGTCGAATTACCGGCCAGTTCTGGCCGTTTGTAGGTCGTTGTGACAGATTCCAGCTACCACCGATGGTGGTTGCCGGAATCTAGCAACTATGGGTAGGTGGGGGTGTTTTTGTTAATTTTTAAACTTTTTTCTGGAGGTGTTTAATGAAATTAATAAACTTAAGGGGTCTAAAAGTAATTAAAAAATATAATAGTATTTCCTAAATAATTAAACAAACGGTTATTTTGGGAATAGGGTATGAAATAATAAACCAAACGCACCCGAAAATATTTCTAACTAGTCTTTAAAGGAGCAATTAAGACTTGAGAGAAGTTTCTAAGTAATTAAAAAAGCTTTGATATAAATTATGATAAATTTTGAAACTATAGGGATTTAAACGTAAGAGAAAGATAGATGTGGACAGTGGAAATATTGTAATGAGTAAACGGCATATTCCCACCCAAGGTTTGAGGAAATCCGAGTTAGTACCATTGGTTCCATTTATTCCAGATTCCCACCCTTAAAGTGACGGAAAAACGTTTGATGTAACGGTAAAGGGGTAAATTGGTCATTTTACATGGGTGGCGCACGTTAGCAGACCACCGTCTCTAACAGTCCTCCAATGCAAATTAGCAGCCGTCGTTCCTGACGTTTTTCGCTCTTTTCTGGCGATTCTTCCACCCAAAATGACCCCTGTCACCACCATTTGAACCCCTATCCTCCCCTCTATAAAACCATACCATTCACAACCCCTCATCACTCGCCGATCGCCAGCCACGGCAACGAAAAAGGGCCAATGAACACGAACTCTCGGCCGGCAAATGACGATGAAATGGTTGCTGGGGACATAGGGATTTCATTGATTTGGAGACGGTGGTCGCATTGGTGGTGTCCAATTGGATTTTCACCGTCAGAATTGACTGGAATCCAGTGAAGAACACTAAAACCTTAAGTCTAACGGTGCCGGCGATTGGAGGGGCAAATGAGTCAGGAACCAGAGGGGTTTTAGACGAAGACCTACGTGGAAGGTGATGGAGGTGACTAGGGGGTTTGACGTCGTCTGAAATAGCCCAGATCGAGCTGTTTCTGACGAGGGTGTATAGTGATCGAGGGTGTTTTTGATATAATTTGAAAATAAAACGGTAAGTTTTGTAATTCTACTAATTTAGGAGTTAAAACGTAATTTATTAATTTAGAGTTAAGGGCATTATGGTAATTGCACCCTCTAAATCCTAAAGATTCATAACACTGTTACTTTAAGGGTGTGAATCTAGAATAAATAGAACTAATGGTACTAACTTATGATTTCGTCAAACTTTGGGTGGGAATATGTCGTTTACTCATATTGTAATCTTAGAGAGTAGAACAAGAGGTCAACGTTTTGGTAGCCACCTTTATGTGATTCGGTTGAAACTACCTAAACTATTTCTTTCTGACTGTTTGCTTCTCTTCCTAATTTACATATATTTTATTAATTGTTCTCGCTAAAACCTTTTTTAATTATCAAAAACTTTTTCTAAACTTCGGACAAGTTTCTCGAAACGTT